CCTACTACGTGACAGCTACTAGGGAAGAAATGACCTTGCCCATCATTTCAAACGATTTTGTAAGATTAGAGAGAAATAGAATTTCTGAAAACATGGTCTGTAATCTTAAATCCACTTAGTGCTTGTTTTCTCTTGTCAAGTCTGCCCTTGGCCTGCCTTTCAAACCTCACTCTTTGGCCTCCATCAGAATCTTTCCATCTATTATGTGCTGCCCTGATGCTTACAACTAGTCATCACTCTGGTGAGCAGACAAAACTTACTGACCTCCATGCTGGAAACAGGACAAGTTTTTAAAAATGTGGTATTTGAGTAAGTGTTAGAAAACAGCCTTGTGCAGTCTTATGTTGTCCCTCTGAGTATAGTCAAGTGGGCTTTCTGTTTCTTTCCTTCCTAACCCTTGCTTAAGCCATGTCAGCATTTGGGGGGAAATGAGAGGGGCTGTCCCAGTAGAAATTAGTCTGATTGTACCAGCAATCACTGAAAGGGTGAAGTTTCTGTTCTGCATACTAATGAGATGAGAATTGTCAGAAAAGAAACCTAACCCCATGACAAACGATCCTGCTTGGTGCTTTACACTCATGCATCATATCCATTTAGGGGGCTAGAAAATGAGTTCTTGATTCTTTCTGAAAGTGGGAGGCTCTTGGGGTACTTGGACTGGTTTTGCTTTTCTCAGACTCTCTAGTGGGTACCTAGCACAGGAGTGTGGGGCAGACAGTCACAAGCTAGCATGCCGAGTTTTACCAAACTGACTGTCAGATACTGCTGCCTGGTTACCAAACTTTGTTTGCTGGACCTCTTAGAGACCGTCTGTAAGCACGGAGAATATGCTCACACCGCAGCCAGCCTGGAACCCACCATGGCTTCTAACAGGATTGCCTTTGCATGCGGCATCCGTCTTAGGAGCGGAGACGTGTTGTTGGTTAAAGGTTATTTTGTTGGTATACTAATGTTGGGGCTCTGAATTTTCTAGATAATAGTGATCCTCCCCTCCCCTCCCCCCACCTCCCTCTGCCCTCCTTCCTCACCTAGTTGATTCTAGATCTATCATTGAAATCTTTGTAACTGGTCATGATTTTGCTTTTTCTTTCTAAGTTTGGAGCTAGGAAATAAAGTAGATTCTGCCTGTTGTTTGGATAAGAGTGGGGGTTGAAAGAAGGGGTGGTATTTTGTTATCATTCTGAGATACTCCTATTTTGGTTGTGTGTTTATGGTAAATGTGGAATCCAGCTGTTTTAAATTGCCCTGGGAAGCTATTTCATGTGCTAAGATTAAAGGCTGGGTTCAGATCCTGCTTCTCAAGCATACTACCTGGATGACCTTTTGCAGGGCACTTAACTTGCCTGAATCTCAGTTGGTGATTAGACAAGGTGACTTTTGAGGTCCCTCCTACTCAAGATCTCTGATGACTCTATGATATCTGAGGCTTTTTAGGGACACACATACTAAAACTGTAGGGGATGGAAGCTGTTTTCATGGAAAAATTCCCCTGCCTGGAGTTTCCTTCCCTTGTTAACCCTTGAATTATGAGTTAATCTGGCCTCCATCCATGTTGTGTTTATCTGTGGCCACAGGTGGTGGATCTTGTCATTGGTACAGTATTCTATAAAGTGAAAGACATTGGTTGTAGGAGATACTGAGATATCGCCACAATATGTGTGCTGTTTGATTGCCTCCCTAACTCCCAGTCAATTAACCAGTAAATAATTTCTTATTGATCACTCCAGTGCGGGGTTCTGAGGAAAGCAGTTTAAAAGGAGTTGATAGTGTTTGTTCAAGTGTGGTCCTTGAGGTCAAAACTAATTTCCTAATAATGTTAAGATGTTTTCATTTCCATTTTAGTAAATATCAACAGATATAACCCACATAATCAAAAGCTCTTATTAATTTTCAAGAGTATAAAGGGATTCTCAGATAAAATAAAATTTGAGAACTGTTGGTCTACACAAATCTGAGCAGGGCCAGTGAGGGGTGTAAAGGGGGACTTTTAACGGTGGCAAATGGACAGAAATCTCAGGTGGATTAGAAGTACTATACATAGCTTTAAGGGGTAGGGGTTTGACTATGAAATTCTAGGAGAGGCAAATTGGGTCATTTCCAGAGAACTTGGTTATTCTGAAAAAGTGGTTGGTAGGCTGTGCTGATGTGACTCACTATTTAAAAAACCCATCCTTACTACCCTGTAATCATGCCTAGGAATTTATCAGTATTTGAATCAACAGAGTATAGTCAGATGTTGACTTTAATATGAGAGGCATGAAAGAACAGAGTAGAGGATTTTCAGTTATCATTTAAAACATCTCATCCTGGAAGGCAGTACAGTAGCTAACATTTATATATAATACTTTAAGGTTTGCAAAGCATTTTGTGTTTATTATCCTATTTGATCATTGCAACAGTTTTGTGGTGCAACAGTCCTGATTCTTTGTTACCCACTTGGGATTTTCTTGGAAAAGATACTGGAGTGGTTTACCATTTCCTTCTCTAACTCATTTTACAGATGAGGAAACGGAGGCAAAGAGGGTTAAGTGACTTGCCCAGGGTTACAGAGATTAGTAAGTGCTCCCATTTGGAATTTTCTTGGCAAAGATACTGGAGGACTTTACATTTTCTTCTCCAACTCATTTTATAGACGAGGAAACTGAGACAAAAACAGGGTTAAATGACTTGCCCGGGGTCATACAGCTAGGAAGTGTCTGAGGTTGTATTTGAACTCAGGTCTTCCAGCCTCCAGGCTCAGCACTCTATCTACCATGACGTTTAGCTGTCCTTAAATCCTGTGAGTTAGGCACTATTTCTGTTTCCATTTTACAGATGAGAAAGTTGAGATGGAGAGAGGTTAAGTAACTTCTAGGATCATACAGCTTTTGTCTGAGGCAGGATTAGAAGTCAGATTTACTTAAATTTTAAATTTATGGTGTCTCTTTGATTTATTCCAAGCAGTATTTTCTCTTAACAGTGAACATTAGTTGGAGGCAGTTGGACTGTAAGTTATAAAAATAAAACCCAGCCTTGGTGTTTTGTAGGCCACTGTACCTTTGTAGCAGTGGCGTGCCAGGCAAACATCATAGATTTCTAATTTTCACTCTCATCTCTGCCGTTCATTAGCCACTGCACCATTGTGAGCTAAGACAACCTCAGCCGGGACAGTGTGGTCAGCTGTGGGGAGATTCCAGTTGGTAAAGGAGATCTGCTTCTATTTGTTAACCAACCTGAATACCCTACTATAACACGTCTCAGTGAGAGAAAATGACAATATGTCTTAGTTATTTAGAAACTCTGGAAGGAAGAGCAATCGTGTTCACCTACAGAAGGGTAAATTTTATAGATGCATAGAATTCTAGAAATGGAAGAGGACAGGGAACTTGGAATATTGGGGTGATGGGGAGGCATCATTTAGCACCCTTATTCTGTATTGTTCTTTCACTGATCCTCTACTCCACCCACTCCATTACCACCATGGGTGGGTGACTTTAGACAGTTTCCTCCTGTTTTAGAATGGATTGCTGTAAACAGTGTGCAGCTGTGTATGTTTGGCTGCAAATGTCCACCTCCCATTTTCTGCCAAGAAGTCTTGAGTTAGGTTACTTTGCTTGTTAATCTCCAGGATGCAGATAATACCGGCGCATGTTTTCCTTAGGCCTTGCCCTTCTGGCTTGTGCTCTAGGTTGGATTTCCACAGTGATTCCCCTTCTCCAAGCCTCCCTGGGGACGCAGTTCTGTGGAGTATGGTGAATGGTCTTTCCAGGTTCCTCACCTCAGCAGTGTGACTGCTTATGACTCACAATGGGAATCTGCATGCACTTTTCCTTTGTATATATTTGTGGTCTCCTCCAATAGAATGGAAGCTCCTTGAGGGCTGAAACTGTTGATTTTTGTCTTTGAATCTCCATCTAATCCAGTCTATCTGTCTGCCCATCCATCTGTCTATCCATCCATCCATCCATCTAATTATTTTATTCATTCCTTCGTTTATTGGTCCAGGTTTGTGATTTTTATTGTTGAAGGGCAGCATGCTGAATTTGGAGTCAGGAAGACCTGGGTTCGAATCCTACCTCATACTCATACCAGTTCTGAGACTCTGGGCAAGTCATGTAATCTCTCAAAGAATCTCATTTGTAAAATGAGAGAGTTGGACTTAACTTCTGAGGTCCCTTCTAGCTCAGTGATCCTAGGATTCCAAAGTGGAAACCTTCCTTCCCATTGATGCATCTCTAATTTGTAGTTTTTTGTTTTTGTTTTTGTTTTTGTTTTTAAGCAAGGCAATTGGGGTTAAGTGACTTGCCCAGGGTCACACAGCTAATAAGTGTTATGTGTCTGAGGCAGGATTTGAACTCCGGTCCTCCTGACTCTAGGACCAGTGCTCTATCCACTGTGCTGCCTAGCTTCCTCTCTAATTTGTAGTTCTTGAGAGCTGCCTACATCACTGAGAGGCCGAATGATTTTTCTCAAGCACATACAGCCAGTTTGTGTCAGAGACAAAACTTGAACCCAGGTCTTCCAGAGTCCAAGGCTAGCCCTTTCTCCCATAGACTGTGCTGCCTCTCATTTTACGGATGGGGCAACTCATAGGCCCCCAGCAAAGTTAGATGGTTTTTCCAAGGTAATAATAAGCCTATCTGAGAATTGAACTCAGGTCCTCTAATTTTAAATTCAGCGTTCTTTTCATACGCCACTGCCCCTGTTTTCAAAGAGCCCGTGTTCTACTTGGGTGGATTAAAAATGTATGTAAATAACTATTATATAGGTAGAATGTGGGGAGAGGTCCAGGCAGAGAGCTGCTTTGAGAAATCTGAGGAGGGTAGGAGTCACTTTTAGGTAGCTAATTGCAAAGACTAGGGCTGGAACCAGTTAGCAGATTTTATATAATTATAACTTCAAAGAGTGCCATCAAATACAGGCCACCACTGGACTTGTCCATAAATAAATGGCTAGTGGTTAGTAGAGTAGTGTGTGTATACATGAGTTAAATTTCCTATGTGACTCTTCTTTTGTTTTAGGTAAAAGTATGGATGAAATTAAGAAGGTCCTCTTACTGGTGCTGGGCTGTGCTGTTCAGGTTGGTGCATGGAGTTGGGGATCTGGGGGTTGGGGAATTGGGGCTGGGTGAGGGATGAGATTATTGTTATGATACATGGTGTTTTAGTTGGTTGATGGTACAGCCCAAGGATGTATCAAAGCCAACTATTCTAGAATAAATAAGAACTTAATAATGTTATTAATTAACCTAACAGATGTGCCTAATACATAAATGACCTGTGACTTTTATCCCCCTGGAAACTCCCTTCCCTCATGAACATTGCAGCTGTCTCTAATTTATATAGCCTTAGAGAGTTAGTATCAGAGGTAGTATTTGAACCTAATTCTTACTGACTCGGTGTCCACCATTTTATCCCCAGTACCATGCTGCCCCTCTAGGAACATGCAGCTCCTATAATAAATTACACTTTGTGTAGGTAAGCCAGGTAAAGGGAGCATTTGCCCTGTGCCCCTGAGTAGAGATTGGACAGTTCTTTGATCAGTTGCTACATGTTGCTTTTGCCTGGATTTATGGTTTCATTGGTATAAGGAACTCCTGGTGAGAAACTCTTGGGGACAGCTAGGTGGCGCAGTGGATAAAGCACCTGCCCTGGAGTCAGCAGGACCTGAGTTCAAATCCAGCCTCAGACACATAACACGCACTAGCTGTGTGACCCTGGGCAAGTCACTTAACCCCAATTGCCTAGAAAAGAAAAGAAAAAGAAAAAAAAAACTGTTACTGCTTGGTACCTGTTCTGAGATCTCTAGTCTTAAAGAGTTGCTTGGGCCACAGAAAAGTTAAGGGACTTGTCCAGGTTCACATAACTAGCATGTGTCTCAGGATCAGGATTTAAATCCACATCTTACGGACTCCAGCCCAGCTCTCTATCCACTGTATCTTGCTGTGTTCATGTGTGGGTGTGTGTGCATTTGTATATGAAAGGGAGTATGCTATAGAGACTAGAAGACTGGCCTTGGAGTTAGGAAGACCTAGGTCCAAGTACTGCTTCTCAAACATGACTCTGACCCTCTCAGTTAAAGATGAGCTTTCAGCTTGATATTGGTGGAGGGTGTTTCAACACTGGGAGTTCCCTCAAACGATGAAATAATAGGTTGAGTGCCTCACTGCCTCCTCAAAAGTGCATGTGTATATCTATGTATATCCACCTCTAATATAGTGACACTTTAGAGTAGAAATGGATCTGAGAGCCTGCTCTGACAAGAACATCCAGGTGCAGAGAGGTGATTTGTTTCGTGGTAAAACTGGGAATAGAAACCAGATAATCATAATAATGACTAACTTGTATATTGTGCTTTAGAGTTTGTAAAACTTCTTTATCTACGTGCAGTCAAACTGACAGATTGCATAGATACATATGCATACACTTTTGGGATACTCAGCCTGTTATTTCATTATTTTATGGAATTTCCAGTATAGAAGTGCCCTCTGCAAATATCAGCTTGAAAGCTCATCTTTGACTTAAAATCTTTTTTTGTGGGGGGAGGGCAATTGGAGTTATGTGACTTGCCCAGGGTCACCCAGCTAGTGTCAAGTGTTTGGTCTGAGGCCGGATTTGAACTCAGGTCCTCCTGACTTCAGGGCCGGTGCTCTAGCCACTGTGCCACCTACCTGCCCTGACTTAAAATCTTAGATGCCTACAGCCCTCGGAGGTTAAGAGGCTGGCCTGTAGTCAGATTTATGTAATTTATCTCATTGATGCTTACAACAACCCGAGAGTTGGGTGCTGCGATTACCCCATTTTACAGATGAGAGAACTGAGGTTGGCTTGCCTGGAGTCACACAGCTACTAAGTGTCTCTGGTAGGATTCAGACTCAGGTCTGCCTGCCTCTTCAGTCCAGTGGTCTCTCCATTGTATCCTCTAAGTGTCCATGTCTGCTGACTCACAGGGCAGCACACGTTTAAATACACCAAGTGACTAGGTATTAGATTTGTTTCCACCTTGGGCTGCTTGTGTGGTGGCCAGAGGAGGATCCTCTGGGCCTGGGGACTGACTGCCCTGATCATGGAATAGTCAGTGCTGTGGGGAAAGTGCCTCCACTGCTTCTGGCTATTTGCAGCGCTTTTTGTTAAAGAGTCTCTGTACCGTAGGCGTCATTGCCTTTCTTCAGCATGGGGCACGTCACCCAAAGGAATCAGGCACTGAGGCTAAATGACCCCACGATCCCTGTGTGGAAACTTGAATGGAAGTGTTAACCAGAGCGCCATGGGGAGAACTTCTAGGACGTTAAGAGAGGTAGCCAGATTGGGCAAGAAGGAAGTTTCCTTTTCTTTTTAAATTCATTTATGTACCTGAGGTAGCCTCTCCGTTAAAAAACGGAACCTGTTGTTGACCAAGAAAGCAACTTCCATTAACATTTCATCCCTTTACAGTGTGAAAGGAAAGAGGAGTTTATTGAAAAAATCAAACAGCTGGACATCGAAACCCAGGCTGGGATTGTGGCACACATCCAGGAGGTGCGTTGGTTCTTCTTCTTAGCTTTTGTGAGGTGGGCTGTGTCTTTAGGGGTACGTGGCTGTGGGGTACCACGCCGGTGATGATTATGAGGTTTGAGCTCTCAGTACTGGATTAGCTTAAGGTCAACACCATTGCTAGTGCTTTTTATTAATTTGGAATTTCATCCAGCACAGGCAAGATAATTACGTTTGGAAATACGATCATAAGCCATTTAACATATGTGTGTGTTCTCTCTGTCTGTCTCCGTCTCTCTCTCTCCTTTTTTTTATAAGCCCTTAATTAAATCCCCTTTTGTTTCCTACTTATTACCTAATATGGGCTGAGACTATTTTTAAGAGTGATGTTGTCAGTTGGTTTAGGCTCAGAATTGATTTACATACTTCTAAAATGTACTCTGGCAAATGTCACCCTGCTTTCAAATATTCGTTTCTTTTTAAAGAAAAAGACTCTGCTACTGTCAGTAGCGAGGAGAAAAGACACTGAGTTGCTGTCATTTTAAAGGATGAAATCAGAAATTTCTAGAAGTGCTGCCCCCCCCCCAATCCCAGTGCAATGAGAGTCAGCTTGGGTATTCCTGGTGGGACTTTGCAGCTCTCTCTCAGAGAGAGAGAGAGAGAGAAAGAGAGAGAGAGAGTGTGTGTGTGTGTGTGTGTGTGTGTTCAAATGCATGTGCCTGCAGGCTTGTCTTGGTGAGTCAACTATTTTAATGTAGCTGTCATACTCTTGAGACAATAATTGGTAGTACTTTGGGCACTTACCTACTTTCCCCCCATCTTGATCAAGGAAGATAACACTATTGCTGAAGCTGTTACCACTACAGCTAATAGTAATCATCATTATAACCAGCTTCAGGTCTTCGAGCAGGGCTATGGTGGATACCTGTAAGGAGTGCTGTAGACAGAGAGTTAGAATCCTACTAATTAGGTGGTTGGTAATAAATATAAAACCTGGTAGACTTGAGAGTATTGGGGAGGGGGGTATTGTGATTAGGGGCAGGATAATTGAGAAAGGGAATCTACTTAGTGTTATTAAATTGATTTTTCTTGACTCTTGACTGACTTCAGTGAAAATCTCTTTTTTGGCATTAGTTTCTGGAGTTAGGGCTACTCAGTAGAACAACGCATCCAGGTATTCTCGGGACAAGTATGACTTTGTTCAATAAGGCTTAGTTTAAGATAATTTTTGAAGTGCTACCTGTTTCTGATTCCATTTGGCAAATTGCCTCGGTGTGATGGGATTAATAATTCACCTGCCTTCCAAAGGAGACAGGTGTTCAGCAGAAATTTAAAGCCTACATCTTATATTTGTTCTGATCCATTTACCATTACCAATTCCCTGCTCATAATTAACTTGAGCCGTATTCTTTCCTCCTCCCTCCTTTTCTAAGAGCCCCCATCAACAGTGTCTGTCATTGTTTGCAGGTGACCCAGAACCAAGAAAACGTGTTTGACCTGCAGTGGTTGGAGTTGCCAGACATGGCCCCAGAGGAGCTGGAGTCTCTCTCAAGAAACATGGTGTTTCATCTCAAACGACTCATCGATGAGAGAGACGAATGCACAGAAGTATGTCTGAGAGGTCCCCCCAGTACTCGAAAGAATGGCCTGGCAGAGGATGGGGAGGGATTGTGCAGAAAGGCTGCAGGGGGCTGGTGATAATAGCAGTCTTTGCCAGGGCATTAATATCTCTGATTTCTTTTCTTTCTTCCTTCCTTTCTTTCTTTCTTTCCTTCCTTCCTTCCTTCCTTCCTTTTCGTGAGACAGTTGGGGTTAAGTGATTTGCCCAGGGTCACACAGCTAGTAAGTGTCAAATATCTGAAGCTGGATTTGAACTCGGGTCCTCCTGACTCCATGACCAATACTCTATCTGCTGTACCACCTAGCTGCCCTTCTGCTGCCTTTCCCTGGGACAAGTTTTTTATTTTTTTTTCCTGATATTCCTCTTCAGCCTCTTAAGACTCATCTAATTTAATATGCCCTCTTCTTTCTCTCTACTCATTCTCTGGTCCATATCTAGAACTGTAGACTTTAGAAGTGGAGGGCCCCAAGAGAATATCTAGTCAATCTCTCCAAGAACTAGTGAGGGACAGGTATAATGCAAGGGATTTGGAGTCAGAAAGACCAGAGTTCAAACTCTACCTCAGACACTACCTCATACTCACAAGCTATGTGACCCTTGACGAATGGTTTAACCTCTCTGAAACTCCGTTTCCTCACCTGTAAAACTAGAGGCTGTATCATTGGCCTTTAAGGTACCTTCCAACTCTAAATCTACAATACTATGATACATGAAATTGTATGACGAGAATACAGCATAAGTGATTTGGAGGGAACCATCGTTGTATGGCCCTGGGCAAGTCACTTAACTCGGAGCCTCAGTTTGCTCATCTATAAAATGACTTGTACGCCTTTAAGGGTCCTTTCCAGTTTTAAATTGATGATCCCATGCTCATCTTTCTTCCTTTGTCTCTTTTTTCCCTCCTAACTGAAGTTAATAGTGGATCTTACCCAGGAAAGAGATTATCTGCAGTCTCAGCAGCCACCCAGCCCCCTGAAACTGTCCAGCACTGACTCCACCCCCAGCCCAACCAGTAGCCTCTCCAGTGAGGACAAACAGCATCTGGCCGTAGAGCTCGCCGACACCAAGGCCAGGCTACGGAGGATCCGGCAGGAATTGTAAGTCATCGGGAAACTTGTCCCTTCATCAAAGAGCTCAAAGTTGCGTTTTAAATTGTCATTTAGTTATGTGATGAGTGAATTTCATTTGATACGGTTCTTACTATACTTAACTGTGTTGTTTTTTTTTTAAAATGTCATATTTTATTTCCCTCCAAATTACACGTTAAAACAATTTCTAACATTTGTTTTAAAAAAAAATTTTAGAGTTCTCAATTCTCTCCCTTCCTTTCTTCCCTCCCCCCTCATTGAGAAGGAAAGCAGTTTGATATGGATTATACATGTGCAGTCATGTGAAACTGTGTTGCTTTTCAAAAAAACATATCTTTTATCCCTTCCTCTTCCTCCCAACCCTTCCAACAAATTAGGGCCTGAATTAAATATTACCTTGTTATACAAGGTGTCCCAAAAGTCTTAGGGGAGTTTTAAGCCTTAAACTTAAAACTGTCAGAAAACTTTTGGGACACCCTGTTTAACAAACAGTTGGTTTTTATTAAGATTCAAATTCAAAATGACTTTATGACTTTTGGGACACTTTGTATTTTCTCAGTTGGAGACAGGCAAACTTAAATATTGTTATTCTAAAAGTGCCCCACCTCCCTTTGATTACTTTGTCTTTCCTCCCATTGGTTGGTTTTCACGGTGGTCTCTCCGTCTCTCCTTTATCTTGGGGTTGCTCTTTACTCCTCCACCCTCAGCGGAAGTCCCCAAAACTTCTTGGTTCAGGGGAAGAGGGCTGGAGGAGATGGTGCTTGCAGCAGGAACTCAGATCCCTGTGATCAGACCTTGGTCATAAGAGTAATTTGTGGAGATGAGTTCTTCTTTGTCTGGTACAGGTAGTACCTTGGCAGGGGATCTGTCATGCCTGGTGGATATGAGCTTAGGGAAAGGCCAGGAGAAAACAGAAGGAATTCATAAGGCAGATTCATTTCTGCAAACTCCATTTACATTTGTGGCTTTTCCCAAAGGACTCAATTTCCTTTCCCCCTCCCACTCCCTCTCTGACCCTGTACAGGCTTTGTGTTGTTGATATTGTTATCTCTCTGAGCTCTCACCTCTAAATCCCTTTCTTCAGGGAGGAGAAATCAGAGCAGCTAGTCGATGCTCGGCATGAAATTGATCAGCTGGTGCTGGAACTGCAGAAAATCAAGCAGGAGGTAAGGAGGGATAGGCTTCCATCTGGCAAACATTTATTAAGCACCTACAGTGTATAGAATACCATGTTTTAGGATTAAGAGTTAGAGGAGTGGGATTGGGAAGGTTAATAATAAAAGCCAAGAAGTTAAGGCATTCTTCATCGGGAATTCTTTTGGTTTTGTTTTTTAAAGCAGAAGCACATTTATTTCCCAGTATATTCCGAGGTGATAGCCATCTCCCACAGCAGTGCTCAGTATGTGCCCAGCCAACCATGTAGTTAAGGAGTACTTCATCAGAAGTTGGTTTTTTTTTTTTTTAAAGCAAAAGTAAAATTATTTCCCATATAGTTTCTTAAGAGTTTTCTGAGGATAAAGCTAACTGAGAATATTAAGAATTATAGTAGCAATAGCCATCTTCTGCAGCAATTCTCTGCATGTGCCCACCTACCTACTTGGTAATGAATGGTTGGTAGACAGTTTCTTCAGACACCAGCATTTTCCTTTTCCTGCAATTCCTGGATACCCTTAATTCCCCATGTTTCTTTTTTCAAGCAATAGATCCCTCTCTCCCTGGCTCCCTAGCTCTTGTTAACATGCCTTGACATCTGAAGATAACATGGTGCCCGGTTTTCTTCTTTCATTGTCCATCTATCCAGAATATCCACCTTGGCGCTGATGCCCGCTCTGCACGAGCCTACAGAGATGAACTGGATTCTTTGAGAGAGCGGGCCAACAGAGTGGAGAGGCTTGAAATGGAATTGGTCAGGTGCAAGGAAAAACTGCATGATGTGGATTTCTATAAAGCCCGTATGGAGGTGAGGCTTATTACTAAGAAACAGTTGTCTTGGGTAGTTTCTTTTTCTGGGGTCAGGGTTGTTACCTCTGGTTGGTCATCAGAAGCATATTTGGATGGATCTGTCTGTGCTCTCCTTTGAAGGAACTATGAAGGTTTATGTAGGTTCTGTCTCTCTACTTTCGAGCCAGTGTAGACCTCCACAAAGTACCCCTCCCATTCTCCTATTCAGTAGATCCCGGACTGGAAGTCAAGAGATCCTAGGTTCAAACCCTGACTTGAACATTCAATAATTATGTGTCTCAAGACAAATGACTTAACCTCTCTTTGCTTCGGTTTCCTCACGTGCAAAGAAAGCATGGTTGGAATGGGTGGCTTCTCTTCTAGCTATAAATCTAACCATCATTACTTCAGTTTTTGGATCTGTACACATGGCATCTACTCAATTAAGGATCCAATTTCTGTTTTCTCTCCTAGATTTTAGTTTCCTTATTTGGGCTAGACTTAAAATAACCAATATTTATGTAGCATTTTAAACTTAACAAAACACTTTCCTCACAGCAGTCTTGGTTGTAGGTAATTTTTTTTAATTGTTGTTTTACAGATGAGTCAGCATAGACTCAGGTCCAAGGAAATAAAGCTGGAGACTAAATCAAGACACCAACTCTTGTATTCTGACCTAAAATCCAGTGCTTTCTGCTCTGTACAATGTAGTAACATGCATGGTGACTTTTGGGGAGAAAATACTACCATCCCCAAATACCTCCCTCATGCCCTACTAATAGTTTCTGAAATCCTATCATGAGAGCTTTATTACTTTGAATTATGACATGGTTACAGTTTAAAATGCAAATATCCCTGGGGAGATAGTGAGGTTGAGTTTTAATAAACAGCTTAGCATGAATTAATTTATTGGATTCCCTTAGGACAACAGAAATGAGAGGAATTAGATGGAAAGCTCTTAGAAATGAGATTCTGAATCCCCAAGAAGAAATTATTCTGATGAGGAATAAGTTGAGCTGCTTAAAGAGACTGATATGGATATACAAAGAACTTACTGGGGATCGGGATAGGGCCTGTGTTTTCATCAGTATTGAAGATTTCCGGGTGAGGAAATTCCCTTCACCAATGCAGGTCAGTGCCTTTTTTCCAAGGTATTATCTCAGTGCCTGGAGCACTGAGAAATGAAGTGATTTTTCTGGGCTTCCACAGCCAGTACATGTCAGTATGCAAGACTTGAACCGAGGTCTTCCTGACTTTGAAACTGACTTTCTCTCCATTTTGCCACACTGCCTCACTGACAGATTTTTAAAAGACATGTATAGAAGATGGAACCAAGGATAAGTAATTGAGGATTAATAGAAATAGAAAAGAGCAGAATGGTCTTGGAGGAATTGTCAGGCATCCTAAATTCCAGAATGATGTGAATTTGGAAAAAATGCTAAGACCAACAAAAAGCTTATTTCTTTTTTATGATTTTAAAATCTTTGTTAGAGACAAAAGATGGATTGAAGAAGGGATAATAGGACCACTGAGAATAGGATAATAATAGAGCAGACACACGTGAGAAGGCTGAAAGCTTCAACTTAGTTTGCTTCTGTTTTCTCTTCCAAGGATAAGATCTTTGGACCAGAAGAATAGGGGCGGAAAAGTTAGCAGGAAATGGAAATGCAAAATAAATGAAGGAAATGATCAAACAGTATTTGGTCGTACTCAGTGAGTTCAAGTCAACAGGCCTACTAGATCATTAACATTCTAGGGTACCGAAATAGCTGATAGCTGTCCTTTGTGGGCCTCTGTCAGTGATCTTTGAAAGATCTTGGAAAATAGGAGAGATGTCATAAAGGCTAATGTAATAGGGCTATTACTCTACCAGTTTGGAGTGGGGGGAAGAGGGAAGGAGGAAAAAGTGGAATCTATAAGCTGTAAACCAAGGAGTCTGACTTCTAGAATTTTGCCAACAATAAATAGAACACATCAAAGGAACGGTTTGTGGGCACTTTGAAAGGGAAACAGTGATTTTTGAAAGACAACATGACTGTTAAAAACTGGTCATCCTAGACTTAAATGCCGTTCCTGTTTTTGGCAGGTTAGTCTGACTTGAACACGGAATATAGTAGATATATAGCATACTTAGATTTCAGCAAAGCACTTGAAAAAGACTTTAATGCTAAATCTATGCATAAGATGGAATAATTGGTCTAGATCAGGGATTCTTAACCTGGGGTCGGAGAACTTTAAAAAATATTTGGATAACTGTGTATTTAAATAGAATTGGTTTCCTTTGTAATCCTATGTACTTTCTGCATTTAAAAACATTATAAGAAGGGGTCCAAAGGCTTTACCAGAGTGCTGAAGGGGTCTTTGGGAAGAAAGCTATGGCAAATCTAGACAGCATACTAAAAAGCAGAGATATCACTTTGCTGACAAAGGTCTGTGTAGTCAAAGCTGTGGTTTTTCCGGTAGCAATGTATGGCTGAGAGTTGGACTATAAGGAAAACTGAGCATTGCAGAATTGATGCTTTTATATCTGGTGCTGGAGAAGACTTTTGAGAGTCCCTCAGATAGCAAGGAGTTAAATCAGTTAATACTAAAAGAAATCAATTCAGGCCATTCACTGGAAGGTCAAATACTGAAGCTAAAGCTTAAATACGTTAGCCACATAATGAGATACCAGGATTCATTGGAAAAAAAACCCCTGATGTTGGGAAAGATTAAAGGCAGGGGCAGCAAGGTGGCGCAGTGGATAGAGCACTGGCCCTGAAGTCAGGAGGACCTGAGTTCAAATCCAGCCTCAGACTAAACACTTGACACTTACTAGCTGTGTGACCCTGGGCATGTCACTTAACCCCAATTGCCTAAAAAACAAACAAAAAAAGGTTTAAAGGCAAAAGAAGAGGACAGCAGAAGATGATATGGATAGATAGTGTCATGGAAGCAACGAACATGAGGTTGAACAGACTTTGAGAGATAGTGGAGGATAGAAGGACCAGGCGTGCTACGGCCTACAGGGTCGTGGAGATTCAGACATGACTGAACAAAAACAAAGGTGCTCGTGAAACAGAAATGATTACGCCCCCTGGGGCTAGAAGATAATACAGTTATGGGGATTTGGAACTGCATGAATGACCATACCCAAACAATCGTCCACTGAGTTCCATATTTTTTCAAGTTACTATCTACCTTATTAATCACTACTCAAAGAAGTCAACTTGAACTTAACTAGCTTAATATAATATTTTAAAGTTTACAAAATACTTTCCCCTAACAGCCATGTGAAATATTGTAAATATTATCCTTGTTTTATAGAAAAGGAGATTGGAGTTCAGACATTATCTCACGTGTCTGTCCTTGGCCCTGAGCTGATCAACATTTTTTATGTTGGATGACCTAACCTCGAGGGATTCTTAACATTTTTTGTGTCATGAACCTTTTAGCAGTCTGGTGAAAACTACAGATCCCTTAGAATAATGCTTTTAAATTCATAGAAAATGCATAAGATCACAAGGGAAGCCAAATATGTTGAAATACACCCCCCAAATTTTTTAAAAATCAAATTCCTGGACCCAAAGTTAACAACTCCTGGTGAGGTTCCACAAGGATCTCAGAAACACCAAAGGATGTGATGGTCCAAATCAAAGAAGATAAAACTTTAATAGGAATAAATGTGCAGATCTACACTTGGGTTCAAAAAACCAACCACTAGTAGATGATGTTAGGTGTGGGACTAGACAACAAATCTTTTGGTGAAAAAAAAAATTCTGATCATTTCATTGTAGTAAAAAGTTCAATATGAATCAATAGTGTGAGATGGTAGCTAAAAAAAAAAAAAAAAAAGGAATGCTATCTCACTCTGAATTTAGAAAGTCAGAATGCCCAGAACACAGGAGGTAATACTAGTTCTGATATTCTATACCTTGATCAGGTCATATCGTTGTTTGGTTCTTAGCACCATTTTTTAAAAATAAAATTTTATCTTTTTTTTTTTTTAAATATCACCTACCTTTCCCAATGTATAACTTCCTTCCCAGAAAGCCATACCTTATAATAAAGAATAAAAAAGAGGAGAAAAAAGTTCAGCAATACTAACCAACCTATAAAAAAAGTCTGAATATATGCAGTATTTCATTGTTTGGTACTTCTGCAAAGAAGGAAGCAAGTACCATTTTTAAAAAGTGAGGGGTATTTTTTGTTTCTCTATCACCTACGCTCCCTCTATTCTGTTTTTTCCCCCTCCAGCCAACTCGTAAAACAAAGATTTTTTTTTTTAAGAAGAAGAGAAAATAACATCCAGGGGCAGCTAGATGGTGCAGTGGATAGAGCAACTAGGACCTGAGTTCAAATCTGTTCTCAGATGCTTACTAGCTGTGTGACCCAGGGCAAGTCACTTAACTCCAATCACCTCAACAAACCAAAAAAAAAAAAAAAAAGGAAAAAAAGAAAATAACATCCAAATCTATCAGTTCATTGAACAACATTTGATTATATATTGGGCACCATGTTTTAAGAAAGACTTGCTGGAGCAAGTTTAGAAGAAAGCAACCAGGATAGTGACAGGACTAGCAGATTATCAAAGGAACTAGAGAGAGAGTTTATCTTAGAGAACAATAGATTAGGGATAATCTGAGAGCTGTTTTAAAGTATCTGGAGGGCCATCATGTGGAAGAGAGATTAGATTTTTTTCTACTTGGCTTCAGAAGGTGAAACTAGAAACAATGGACGGAAGGAGAAGAGGGGCAGATTTAGGCTTGACGTAAGCTCAGACTTCATCACAGCCCAAAGGCGGTGGGCTGCCTGCCCAAGAGTTGGTGGGTTCCCCATCATTGGAGGGCTCCAGCTAAATGCTCGGTGGCACCTTGTTGGGAAGATTGTAGTGAGACTGTTCAGGGACAGGTTGAATTAGACTCTTTGTTTCCTTCTAGCTCTTAGGCTCTGTGGTTCTCTCCTTTGGGAAGGAGAGAGGGAGGAGACTTTTGGAAATGGAGCCCGCAGAGGAGCAGGAGGGATAGTCAGAGAAGCAGG